CACATCGCATAATGCTCCGTGAACACAAAAAGAAACGGATGGCGGACAACAAAAGAAAGCGCCTCGTCCTTCAGCCGAATAGTCCTTCCCATGACTCTCCCAGACGGCATTGAGCGCATCGACACGGAAAAAATGGAATGATTGTGACGCATAAACACTTCGCCGTCACCGGCTGCCAACAGCGGCTGTTTTTCTCCACCAAGAGGGAGAACACCACAAGAGCTCCCATCTGAGAGGGAAAGAAGACTATACTCGCGCCGCATACCAACGCAGGCGATGCTGCCATAAGTAACAAGGGTCTGAGCTGGTTCAGGGAGCACAAGCTCCTGTACGAGAATGGCCCGTGCGCTTTCGCCCCGGGACGCATCAAATTCAAATACGCTAAGTCCTTTACCATTCAACTCGGATGCACACACCACATGAAGACCCGCGCGTTGAGGACTGTTCGACTGAGAATCTGAAACAAAGAACGTGCCAACATGTTCAGCAATCGTTTGGAGATGGGAAAAACTAACAGAGTTCAGCACAACAAGGCGATGCTCATACAACACAAAGAGAAGAGTATGTGTGCGACTGTGTTGGAGACGCTCAATTTTCTTTTTCATCGCTGACAGCAGAGTGAAACGCACAAGTGTGGTGTGAATTTTCTCGGAGGCTTCCGAAGAGGCAAACATCGGCATATACGTTGCATCATGTGTCGCCAAGTTATGTGCACGGCCGTTGCTGTCCGGACCGTCCTTGCTAGAAGTAATATTTTGTGTCGTCTGCTGTGCTGTATCCGACAAGGATGCACCCTCGACGGCAAGCTTCAGGAGGACGCCATGGTCGGTGCCGACAAAGATGGTGCTGCCGTGGGTGTCAAAGGCCGAGATTTGGCCATACTCGGGCGGCATCTCATAGAGCCGCACCAGGCATCGCACAGCCAGCATCAACGCTACAGAGTGCAACAGGCAAAAACGAAAAAGAAGAGTTGCGGGGGAATTCAAAATGGCCAAAAGGAAAAGAATAAAACCAAATAATAGAAATAATGCCAATAAAAAAGTGCACACACACACACACACACACACAAACACATGCAAGTATTATCTCCAACCACACCCCTCACCATCCAGTTCTGTCACTCTTCCTCCCATTTTCTCCCTTTTCATCGTCTTAACCGATATGAGCAAGAAACACAGCATGCGAGAAGCGCCAGTCCTTGCTTAAAAGCCGGACAGCACAAGGAGGGCTGCGGGAGTTAATCCTGCTTCCACTGGAAGCCACACTTTAAACATTTAAAAAATGTTGTCGCCGGCTCATCTGCGGAGCGCATTTGAATTTGGACATAATGCGCCCGATTGCCATCGCAGAACTTCTCGTCATTCTGGCACCGCACAGTAATCAATTGACCACCATCCACCTCTTCATTCTTCGTCTTGATTCCATTCGCCTTCACATTGGCGTCATCCTCCACCGTCTTGTTGAACTTCAGCAGTGAGTGGTTCACTGTGAGCAGGTGCGTCGAAGGGATGGGCGCGACATACGTGCAGCTGGAGCAGGCAAACCGGTTAGTCGGGTGGTGTGGCTCAATGAGCAGCAGCGTCCCGCAGAAGGGACAGAAGAACATAGCACTCCTCCTCCTACTCCACTGTTCCCTACGCGGGGGTCCCCGTTTCCTGCTGCGGTCGTGCGCCCCTGCCCTTCTGATGTGTTGGGCGGCACACACACACACAAAAAAAAAAGAGTTAAAAGCAAGATTCATCACAAATTACAAAAACAACAATAAACACAAACACACACAATAAATAATAATAATAATAAAACAGCAAATATGAGAGACCTCTCCAAGCAGATGCCTTATTTTGTCACCATTCGTGTTTTCATGCCTTATTTTTTCTGCTCCGCACCTTTTTTCTTTTTTTCTTATTCCACATCACCACAATTCCGCACAATATGTCCAATGAAGAAATATCGTGCGTGCGCACAAATATAAATATATAAATTTCCGAAGAAGATGCAAAATTTGGCGGGGCATCAAAACAAAAAAACAAAAACAAAAGAAAAACAAAACAGGAACAACAATCAACTACATGCCCAAGTTCCTCATCGTCAGCTCGTATCCATAAACGGACTTCTCCACAATGGCCCGAGATGACGGCTGCACGTTGGGGTCGTCTTCAGGCTGGCCGTACAGGTCCATTGGGGTCAGCTCCGAAGCAGTTCCGCGGTAGTGATGGTACAACGCAAAACTGCTAGGAATCGCACCCAGGCGGCGGGCGGAAAGAAGTGTCGTCTCCGTAAGTGCAGTGTCCGCCGCGGCACCCCATCCCAGTGTGGTGCGAATGCGGTGGAGACGCTCCGCGTTGTCCTTATGAAAGGCCCCGCGCTGAATGACATCACAGGGGTGCACCACAGGCTCCCGAGACTGGGCTTGTGGAAGTTGAATCTCTTTTGTCGCCATGCGCAAGTATTTCCTTTTTCTTCCTTTTTTTCTTTTCTCGTTGGTGCTAACTTTATTCCTTTCAGGCGTCAGTGCATAACGCGCGTGGAGAAAGAAGAAGAAAAAAGAATTGTCGAGCAGCCGCAAGCATCACAAAAAAAATAAACACACATAAATGGATACAAACAACAACAACAACAACAACAACAACAAACAAGTCGGAAAAAAAACAAAACCAACAGGAGATAAAAGACCACCGAAGACACCATTGCGTTTTTTTTCTCTTGTGGTTCTCTTTATTTCTTTTTGTTTTCTTGTTTCTTATTCTTTTTGTAATGGTCTCCTTCTTCCTATACATATATATATGTATGTATATGTATGCCACTGCCTGCGCTGCATCGCCAATTCCCCAGTCATCCGTGCATGCCACTCTCCCTGGTTCTATGCACACATCCCCGTCACCACCGCCGTCACCTAATCGCATCATTAGGATATGCAGTAACGTCAAGAGCAATGGAGGGCTAGAACAGGTAAAAATAAAAGAATATGATAAGAATGAGACTCACCACGGCGGGAGGGCCGTACAGACGTAGCAGCCGCATCCGATTCATGTGAACTGTCTTCTTGTAGAAGCGCGAGCTCTGATCCACCAGCTGGGCGCTGAATTGGTTCATCGTCTCTAACTTCTCCCCACGCGTCATCAGATCCTCAAGATTCTTTCGCATCACAAAATGCACATCCGTGAGCTCCTGCCGCAGTGCGTCGTAGTGGGGGTTCACCTGACGACGCTGCCCGGAGCCCTGCGAGGCGGCGCCCGGCCCACCGATCACAACGTTGTTGCCCTGCCTATCCTGCTGTACTTGGCGGATCAACTTTTGAAGGGTCGCGTCAAACTTAATAAACTGAAACGGACGAACATTGGTGGCTGCAATCTCACTCACCGTGTACGACTGCAAAAACTCAGAAAAGACAAGATCTAATAAACCGCACGCAAGACGATTCATTGCCCCAACATCTCCCGAGTTGCGCAGAAGTAACTTGTTGACTACCGTGATGATCGTCAAATCCGTTGCGGCGTCCTGAAATGCAAAGTAGATACAATCCCGATGGTCAAAGCTTTGGTAGTAACTTCCCTTTGCGCTAGTTCGGTCTGTTGCTGCTGCAGGGGACTCCATCCGCTCTAGAACACGCTGCTCCTGTTGTCTTATCTCGTTGGAGTTGGCATAGTTCTCGTCCGTGTAACTACATAAAGGCACATGGTCATGCGTGCGTGCTATCAGGACCGCTATGAAGCACCCCTTGGAGGCCATGCCGCGGAAGAACAAATCCCCAACACTCGGCAAAAGCAACACCAGCAGCAAAGAGGAGTAACGATGGTGGGCGCCCAGTCCTGTGTTGTTCCCTCCTTGTCCTTTCTGTTTTAAACCTTTTCTGCTGGCAACACAAAAAAAATCAATCATCAGAAAAAGACCAAAAAAAAAGAAAAAAAAAGTACTGCAACCATTCACGCAGTGACGGGGGGAAAAAAACTGAAAGGGCTCTAAACCTTTTCTTTCAAAGGTCGCCTTTCAAAAGACGTTTCGCCTTTGTCCCTCAAAAAAGTCACAAAAAACAACAACAACAAACAAAAAAAAAGTGCAAAGTAAAAAAGACAGCGATGCCGACAAGAGCACCTAAGCCACCATAGCGGATGCCGTGCTGGACTCATACTTCCACGTGGGCGGCAACTGCTTCACGCGCTTGTAGTAACGGGCAAGGCGGTGAATACGGGACTCAACCAAAATCAAACGGAACTTCGTGTCCCTGTCCTTGGTGTTGCGCTCCAAGTGCTTCCGCATCTCCGTGGCACGCTTGATGAGGCAGTAGAGATCCTCTGGGATCTCCGGCGCCATGCCCTTGTGTTTGAGAATGCGCAGGATCTTTCGGCCTGTGACGTTCTTCACCTGAGCAATACCCATGGAGTCACGCAGCTGCATTCCAATGCGACTGGGAGTGAGACCCTTTTTCGCCAGCTTGCAGACGGCGTCAATAACATCGCGGCTGGCAATCTTCAGCCATGAAGGAGGCGTGCGGCAGAACGGCAAAGACGAGGCGGACTTGCCGTGACCAACACCTTGCATGCGGACCATGATTCCTTGAGATCAGCGTTGTCTTCCTTCCCTGCAGAAATATAACAATGGAGCAAGTAGTGTTTATGTTACGAATACAGGAAAAGCAACAAAAGGAACATCATCACCATCTCCAGCGAAACATAAAAAACAACAATACAAAAAATGTGAGCATCCGAGAAAGCAGTAGAAAAGCGGGGCTCGCAGAAAACGCTGGAGGGGAAAGTCCCGTAAAAGCGGGCGCACGGATGTTTAAACGTGACGCCACACCCACTTCTCCGCCAAGGGGCTCACAGCCCGGTGCGTCTCAGATGTAAACCAAAATGCAGAACAGGCCACAGTCAACCCGCAAGCACGTGGTGCGTGCAAAACGCCAAGGTGGCGGGAGCTTCATGTGACGATAACAAAAAAAAAGTATACGCAAAATCAGGAACGCATGCGCCGCTCCGTGCCGAACAGGGAATGTTGTGTCACGCGGTCAAGTAGCAATCAAAAAGACCAGCCCACTGATCCTCCTCCGTGTGCAGCGCGCCAGCGTCACTCAACTCGTTGAGGCTCAATAGGCCAAGCGTAGCCCAGCTGATGAACACATCATCTACAATTAGGGAAGGGGCCTCGGCACCAGCATCAAAAGTGGTTTGCAGCTCCTCCCTCGCCCAGGGGACGGTGGAATAGATGAGGGCGAGGCCATTTTCCTCGTTGCGGGGAAATTCCTCGAAGACGCTGGTGGCCTCTGTGTACAGTTGAACACCACACGCACCGTGTGCCGCTCCCAAGGACAACGCATCGTTCACGTCAACGCCGGGACGCAATGGCACCAACTCCATAAACACCTCACGGAGCCTCGGCCTCTGATTCCGGTAAATGCAGTCTTCAAAGCCTAAAGGAGGTGGCAAGTGCGGCGGTCGGTATGGGTTCAGTTGGTAGCGAAGGACCAGTTGAATGTCAACGTACATGCCGGCGATGGGATCCCCGGTGACATTGGACAGTTCATATGGCATGCGTTGGTTCAGGGGAAGTCGGTGCGTGCACTTGTACCGTTTCTCGCTGCCGTGGTTCCACAGAGGAGGTAGCCTGTACACATTCCACCCACGAATCCGCTCCAAAGAGCCTTTCAAGGAAAATGGGGGAGGATCGCTCAAGTATGTGATCTCAAATAGTGGTGTGACGAAGTCATGAAGTCCCTTTGTCATCTAGCGTGGCAAACTATTCACAAGCCTCAAACCAAGTATTACTCTTTGTTTCCGTTTCGTCCGCTACAAACGCAAGAAGAAAAACGGGGAAGAATCCAACGGCTGAGGTGGGGAGAAAAACACGCAGGGGGGAAGAAGGTACCAGAAATTTCGTTGCCCTTCCGTCCGGACTCAGCGGTGACGGTCGCAACGGACGCCCGGCCCGCTTCTCTCATGCCCATGGACAGATGCACGTAGATAGGGGGATGGGAGGGTGCGCACAAACATGCAAACTGAGCAGCAAGTAAAACGGTTCATCACTGTGGAAATGCATGCATCCGCGCGGAGACACGCACGTAAACTGGATCAGAGAACAGTAAGGGCACAAAGAGAAAAAAAGTAGCGGTAATTATTTAGCTATCGGATACAAAGCACACGTAATACTTGCAATTTTTAGATTTTTTGACTTTAGAGTCGACAAAAAGAAAAAAAAAAGAAACAACATTTACCCGTTTCGGGATTTCTCTCCTACGACGATGGTCGATGACATGAGCTGCCCGTTTCTCGAAAAAACCACTGGAACTGTCCCATGGGGTCGCACATGACGTGCAACGACGGCGTTGAATGCAGCAAGCTCCGTTACCGCGTACCCGGCGAAGCGTACCAATTGATCTCCGGCACGTAATCCAGAAGCAAAGGCTGGTCCTTCTCTTGTAACGCCATCACTGGCGCCAACGTAGCTCTCTGCAACCTCGTGCACAGTCAAGGTGGTGTGGCCCGCATCGTCACGACTTACAGCGACACGAAATCCCAGATAAGGGCGTGTCGTGGAAGAACCATACATTGACTTTGTCGGCGTTGAGGCACCTGAATGAGTGAAAGGCAATGGAATGGGCAAACTTCGGCGTGGTCCATCCGAGTCCTCCTCCTTAAATTGAAAACTACTCTTTGGGCGTGGTGTTAGGGAACCTCCACTGTGGACCAAAACCCTTTGTTGAAATGTGGCACGGCCACACGGTGACGAGACCTTTTGGGAATGTCCTCTACGAGTCTCTGATGCAGTCCATGACATGGAGCGATGCTGTTTCTTACACACGCCTAGCTCGTCTACAGACAGCTTTGGAAATTGCTGTGGGATTGATTGTCGTGGTGTTCCTTCTAATGCCCCATTGTTGTAAGTGCGACTCTGATTGGTTCCCGGCGAATTATCTGATGTGGCAGTTGCACCTGCCGACCTCGCCGGTGAGGACTCTGCTGCGTCACTGCCCAGAGTACCTGTCCCAGGCTCGGTTACGCCCTTCGCCAATGTCCGCAGCTTTAAGTGTCGTTTCCAAAGCCCAGGAGACATCAGTTCTAAAAGAACAGCAGCGTGACGCACAAGCCAGACAGCGGTTTGTGTTTTGCAAAGACTTCTCAAAGGAAGTGGTATCACTTTCGCTGCCCCTCGTGTGGATAATTTCTTCTCACCACCCTCCACCTCCATGTCACTGTGCGCCTTCAAAGAGTCAAACATGGCGACAAGATCCACAATTAGCGGAAGAGCTTCCGTTCGCGTTGTAGGTGGAACAAAATCTAACCAGCGCAGCGAGGCACAATCTGTGGTATTCATAATCCGCTTTTCATTAACTGAGCTTTCCTCCTGTATGGAAATAAGTGAATCGTAATTGGAAGGCTCGTGTAGGTTAACGCCGGTCAATCTTGCAGCATTCACAATGATTGATTGAAGCCGCTGCATGGTTCGATCAAACTCATCCGATAGAAAAAGTGGTGTATTCGCGTGAGCAGTGAAATGGCGTCTTTGCTCTGATGACGTTTTCCCCTCCGTCACCAATGCATTGGGTCTCATGCGCAACAATGATTCGTCGCTATTGGAACACAAGGACATGATGGAGTTGTAATCACAGGCTTCTAATGGGTATTCAAGTATGGAAAGTTGGACAACTTTCTCATACGATGCCATAATTAGAGCTCTATGACGTCCACATCGTACACCTGTGGCCTTGAGGGCCCGCAACACCGCCCCTACCTGTCGCAGCGTTCCTACCTCACCGTCAAAAGTGTCATCATCAGCAAATAACGCAATTCTTTCACGACTGGCGTTGCAAGACATTTTGCTCCGTGATGCCGAGCCGGAGTCTCTTCGTCTACGAACCGTGTCCGAAGAATCGCGATAACCAGCAAGAAGACATTCCAAAGACTTCTGAACCTGCAGGTATTCTATATCCGAGCGCAAAGCCAAATTTCGACTTTCCACCTCATCTCGCTCAAATGCCTGCTCTGCTATTTCCACCTCCAGCTGTTCAGCCTCTTGGCGAAGCTCTGTCAAAGAAGCTGTGCTGTCCACCGCGTTTTGTACGGCAATCCACTCTCGTTGCATGGTTGTCCGTTCCTCATCGAGGCGCAGCAGTCTTGCCTCAAAAAGGGCAAATCGATACCACTTGAGGTAAAATCGCGATCGCAGTGCTCTTTCATCTGCCAAGACAGAAGAAAGTGTATCGACAAGAACCAACGAATGACGGGCCTCTTTTTGACGTTTAACGTACTTAATCCATAGCTTCATATAATATCGACGGCATTTGTGTTGACTGGAAACCATGTGCTGCTCCAGCAACCAAAGTGCACGGCGGCGCCTTTGCGTTGCTTCGGCCGCGTCTCTTAGTCTTTTCCATATGAAGGATTTATCTCCAAATGTTACATCACAGAAGGACAAAAAGAGTCTATTGAAGGCTGTCGATTGCGCGATACGACGTCGCGTCTCTTTTATGTGAATAACCCATTTACGGTAGTACCGTTGCAAAAGACGCCTATGCTCAGCAGCAGCAAAAGTATTTCCCAATTCCTGTGCAATATCCGCCACATCACTGATTTCGTTCCAACGGTAGGAAGTGGAAATACACTTAAGCCGCTTTTCAACACTGCTCATGTCCATATGAAGCAGGAGACGCCTCGCCGACGCCCTCCAACGTTGCCATCGTTTGAAATAGCTTTCCAGTACCCGTTCCTGCTGAAAAGCTTCCAAAAAACGAACTGCACGCATACACCGATAGCGGGCCATCCGTCGGGCCCTCCACATCAGCCAGCGACTGAAGGCCCGTTGTCGTAACGCTTGGGTAAGGGCAAATTGCACAGCGGAGGCAGCTTTGGCTCGCTCTCTCGCAAGATATTGCGGTAACTCCTCTC